GTCGGGGATCTGCCAGAACGAGAAGAATGAGGTGATGAGCAGCAAGTTGGACATTGACAACATGGCGGGCGTCTTCTACATGCTGCTGGTGGCCATGGGGCTGGCGCTGCTGGTCTTCGCCTGGGAACACCTGGTCTACTGGAGGCTGCGGCACTCGGTGCCCAGCTCGTCCCAGCTGGACTTCCTGCTGGCTTTCAGCAGGGTGGGTGGCCACTTTCCTCCCCTCAATCCCAAACAGTCCATGCCCCAGCTGGAAGGGGACCCAGGGCTAAGTCAGAACTGGCAGCTTCACACCGGGATGTGAAGCCCAGGTCCCTAGGGGTGGCCCCTGGTGTGCCTGCAGCTGGCAGCCCTGGTCCTGCAGAGAGAGGGGCTGGAATCCCCACCGTGACACCTAGCGTAGGCGTCTTGTTTGGGTACTTGGCCTCCAGGAGATCCTTCACCAACAGTCGTTGCCTGCGAGTCAGCCAGCCGACCCGCCCGGCATGGATAGTCGGGGTCGATCTGAGGGGGCAGGCGTAGCCCGTTCACCAACCATCTCTTCCCTTCAGGGTATCTATTCCTGCTTCAGTGGAGTACAGAGCCTGGCCAGCCCTGCGCCACCGCCCAGTCCCGACCTCACAGCCGGCTCAGCGGCGCAGGCCAACGTGCTCAAGATGTTGCAGACGGCGCGGGACATGGTGACCACGGCGGGGGTCAGCAGCTCCCTGGACCGCGCCACGCGCACGATCGAGAGCTGGGGCAGCAGCCGTCGGACGCCGGCGCCGTCTGCCTGCTCTGCCCCGGGGCCTGCGTGCTGCTCGCGCCCGGCTGCTTCCGGGGTGCTCCCCGAGCCCGGCATCAGGGTTTGGGAGACGCCAGGTACAAGTCGCGTCCCTCTAGGGCGCAGGGCCCCGCAGCCCTCGTGCCGTCCCCCAACGCCTAGGCCGCTCCCGCCCGACCTCTCCCGAGCTTCCTGTGGGCCCGCCGGCGGGGCGCGGTGGCCAGCACGCACCGGGCGCGGCGTGCGGCGCCTCGGGGCTTCTGAGCGGTGCCTGTGGCCAGAGCGCCCTCTGGCCCCCGCGTCCTGCCGCTACAGCTCCTTCCCTCGGGCTGAGCGCTCGGGGCGCCCCTTTCTTGCGCTCTTCCCCGAGCCCCGGGAGCTGGTGGACCTACCACTGCAGGGGCCGGAACAGCTGGCCCGGCGGGAGGCTCTGCTGCGCGCGGCCTGGGCGCGGGGCCGGCGCCCGCGCCACGCCTCCCTGCCCAGCTCGGTGGCCGAGGTCTTCGCTCGGCCCTGTCCGCTGCCTGTCCGGTGCAGGTGCTCGGCGTGCTCCTGCCTCAACGGCGATGTGGCCTGTAGGAGCCTGGCGCAGGCGCAGTCCAGGCGGCTGCCGTCCTACGGGGCGGCCTGCCTGGAGGGCGCACCCGAGGGGCTCCCTGGCTGGCGGCACGGTGGGCAAGTCTGCCTGCACTCCCACGGCCACCTGCCGTTTTGCTGGGGGGCTGTGTGTCCTCATCTCCCACCCTGTGCCAGCCCAGGCCCCTGGCTCCCTGGGGCCTGGGGGCTTCCGGCGCACAGGGGCAGGACCCTGGGATTGAGCACAGGCTACAGGGACTGTGGGGGGCCAGCAGAGGTTGGCGCAGGTGCTTGTGAGATGCAAGACTTTCCCCGACCCTGCGTCTGGAGGCGCATCTCCAGCTTGGAGTCAGAAGTTTGAGTGCCAGCCACTTTGGGTCTCTGTCTGACACAAACTGGCACTTGTCTGGCTTTCCTGGACAGTGTCTTCCATGGCCACTTCAGTAATCTCAGCAGCCTAGGTCCTGGCATGGGGCTGGAGTCTCTGCTGTCTCCCTGCTCACCTGATCTTGAAGTCACAGGAACAGAGGGGTCAGACCGCCAGGGCCTGCGGTCCCTGGCCATGGCTGCTGTGGCCTGGGTGTGGGTGCAGAGACCCTGAGGTTGAGGCCAGGTCAACCCATTGCTTCCTCCACCTGCTGGGACAATAAACAAACCTTTTACAATCTACTGGTCCTGGCTGCCTCATTTTGCATCCCGGGTGGGGGCACTGCCCAGAGCATGCTGGGAGTATCCCTGAATGCCAGCTGGAGCAGGGGGCAATGCCTCTGGAGCCAAGCCCACCTCTAGGGCACTTGGAAAGGATATGGGGAGCACTGGAAGCTGAGAACGCCCTAGGCGGCAGGAGCCACTTGGCACTCCACTCTGCCAGCTCCCCCGACCCTGATGCTGGGTGTGACAAATGTGCTTCACAGGGGGCCCTGGTGCTAATGGATAGATTCATCCCTGTCTCCTTGAAGAGGTAGGCTCATGCCAGGGACTGTGGCTGCCATGCCCTGCCAGACTCACCCATGGGAGCTTTGCGGTGGAGAGGGTGAGGAAGGGCTGTGTGGGGCACCTGGCCGGTTGCCCTGGTTGCGTGGCTCAGAGCTGCTAGCTGAGCTGTCTCCCAGTTCAAAGGCCCCCCCCACCATGAGAACACTCTAAAGTGTGGCCTTAGGGCATCTGCAGCTTACCTATAGGCCAGAAAACAGCTCCAGTTTTTGGCCGGAGGATCTGACCACCTCCAAAGAGTGCCCGCATGCATCCAGTGGAGTACAGTTTAGCCCTGTACATTCTTACTGGACTGGAACCAGATTCACTGGACCAGGGGGTGGGGAAGGGAGGAGCACAGCAAGTTAACTCTACCTGTGGGGTGCTGCTGCAAGTCCCTGCTGTTCCACATCCGATCCAGCTTCCTGCTGCTGCCTGGGGAAAGCAGCAGAGGATAACCCATGTGGGAAAATTGGAAGCTCCTGGCTCTTGGGTTGGGACTGGCCCAACTCTGGCTGTTACGGCCAGTGAGGGAATGAACCATTGTATGATGATCTGTCTCTTTGTAATTCCGGCTTTCAAATTAAGAAAAATATTTAAAAGAAAAACTAGATGGGGGTTGAGAACTCACCAACAGGTATGGAGTGTGACAATATAGGTTGGTGAGCTTGACCTTGGAGACACTGGTGTTGAGAGGGTTAACTGAACCCTCACCCTCTGAACAGGAATCTGCCTGGGCTCTGGGTGGGAAGGCTGCAGAAGGTGAGGCTGGGAGGAAGTGTGAGAGCCAGGCGACTCTGCTCACTGCCCAAGATCATTAATAACCAAGAACTGGAAAGATAATTAAGAGGCAAATGTGGAGTTGAGCCTGCTGCTGGCTCCAAGGAGGCGCCACTCCTCCTGTTGCCTGGGTCGGCGGCTGGCAGCCTCCTTCCTTCTCTAGGAATATAGTGCACCGAGAGGGGAACACAATTGGGGGGTTGGGGGATGCAGAAGGAAAGCCCCCTATGGCCTGGAGCTGTTTGGGGGCCCTGCCTCTCCTGCACCACCCGGCTGAGAGCAGAGCGGCTGGCCAAGAGCTGACCACAGGTGGAAAAGCATCACACACCGGCCCGCCCGCTCAGACACCAGACACCTGGCTGCTGCTTGCTTCTGCTGCGACAGCTGAGCCAGAGGCCTTGTCACCAGCCTCCGGGGAGGAAATTTATGATCTGACCGGTTCCTTCCTGCTGTTTCCCCATATCTGTGTAGCAGGGGTGTGTGGTGGCAGAGGGGCAGGGCTCACCCAGGGCAGGCCGGGTGCTCTGTGTCAGGCCCCTCCACCTGCCTGCCTTGCCCTTTACAAGTGTTCTAGGGTATCAGGGAAGGAGTCCTCTGGATCCCAAGGGTCAGGCGGTGCCTCTCCCGCCGCCAGGAGCTGGAATCAGACAGCCAAGTGTCTGAGTCTTCAGTGACCCCTTGGCTCTGTGCGGTTATAGCCAGCAAGTGACATGGGAGGCGGGCACTAGCCAGTCCATCAGGAAACAGCTTTATTGACTTCTGTGCTGGAGATAGGCAGCAAGCTCAGGCCTCCTCTCAGGTGGCCAGGGACGTAGTTGACCAAGCTTGCTGTGTGCAAGCAGCAGGTCTGGCCACCTCGTCATGAGGAAGGTACCCAGACCCCATAGAACTCCGTGCAATCATCGCTGTGAGTCCCCCAGGCTAGAGGAAAGGGGATGGCCCAGCTCCCTTCTGCAGCCTGAGAGCCATTTTCAGGTGCCTTGTTTGGGAACTTGACCCTTAGGCAGGCTAGTCTCAGTCTTTCACTTTCTGTGCCCACCACTTCCCCTCTGGACTGACTTCTCAATAGGTGGTAGATGACCTTGACCTCCCCACCCATCCCAGGGGCAGAACATGGGGAGGCCAGGTTGCAGTTACCAAAGGCGTCCTGGGCCCCATGTGGCTAGAACAGCTTTGTGCCTAAAGGCCTGGCACGGGGCCCTCTGCCACCTTCCAGCAGTGCCTCCCCAGCCTGCCACCTGCCCATCTCTAAGCCTATAGCCACCAGCAAGGGGCCGTGCGGTCAGGAGCCGCAGACAGGAGGCTGTGGTGCACAGGCGGGCTTGCTGCTTTGGCAGGGAGTTTGGTTAGAAGTGCTCACTCCCTGCTAGAGCTGGTCTGTCCTTGGGGGCATTTGGGTAGCATGGCTGGAGGCCCCCCAAGTTTAAATCTGGCTCCACAGGGACACTTGTCCCTGCAGACAGGCTGGGCTGGCACCCTCTGCTGTTCCTACCTCCACTGATCCCAGTGGCTCACCTGTAAACCCGAAACCATGACCGAACTTGCCCAGTCTCATGGCTGGGTGTGTCTGATGTGCAGGACTGGCAAGCACTGTCTGGTGATGCCCAGCTATGGGGGAAGGACTTTCTCCCTGTGCCCTCAGCCCCACTGGCCACTGGTGATGAGAGGGGAAAGTGGCCTCCTATGACTGCTGGTAGGGCAGGCAGCAGATGCACATGGAGCAGGGAGCCCAGACTGTCAGCAGGAGGGTCCCTGCTTGGCATAGGCAATGTGGTCACCTCCTGCCAATCTGTCCCCTGGCTCAGAGGTGGCGGGAAGTGTAGCCACCAGACTCCACTGCTGTGTGTGGCGCCAGATTGTCACATCAATCACCCTGGCTCGCTGATGCTAATAAATTTGCCTCCAAAAATTTGGGTTGGCGCCTGGGGTGGCAGGATGATTTAATTTGTTTTGTCCTTAAGCAATGGGGAACGTAATTGGAGAAGGGAAAGTGCAGATGTTTTAATTGAGTTTTCAGCAAACAGCCAGGCAGCGGCCGGCAGGGAGGCCACCAGCCCGGTCTTTGTCACTTTAGGCCTCAGTGCACTGTGGTGCCTGGCTCTGCCCACCTGGGGCAGGGCCTCGTGAGAAGCCTGAAGTAGCAGATGCGCAAGGGGCATTTCTCAGACAGATGGGAAACAGGGCTACGCAGGGATACACTGTGGCGACTGCCGAGGCATGACCACTGGGGCGGGGGTACTGCAAGCTCCCAGCACCCTGGGCCTCCAGCATTGCTGCCCTGGGCCAGCCAGGCTCCTAGACGGTGAGCAGCAGGGCTAGGGGGAGAGGCAGGTACGCTCGTGAGGGCTGAGCAAGGCACTGAAATCAAAGGGGGCAGGGGCCTGAGACCCAACCCTACCCTAGAGACGCAGCCACAGTGAGCTGCTGTGGACTCTTGCACAGACTGGTCTGGCTCCAGGGACAAGCCAGGGAGGACCTCCGGGCACGAAGCAGGAAAAGGCACATTGAGTCTCCAGCGACCCCGACCCCCTGCAGGGCATGCAGGATCGTGTGGGGAGTGGCTGGGGCCTGGCCTCCCTCTCAGGGAGGGGCAGTGGGTGGCCCTTCCTGGACCCGTGACTCCCTGGCAGATGGAGTGTGAAGCATGCAAGTACTGGGTAGGCATGGCCCAGCTCCCGAGGGAACCGTCCCCAGTGTTGGGGCAGCAGCTGCTGTGTCCCTGTGGAAGGAACTGTCCATGCAGTCTGCCTTCCACAACAAGGGCCCTCGTGGTCCTGCTGCCAATCAGCACTTCCTGTCCCTATCACTGAGGTGGCCAGGCCCTCCCCTAGCAGCGTCACTTAGTGACTCCCAGGCCTGGAAGACTGGGTAGGGGTGTGGGGGGCAGGGATGGGCTTCTGGGGGGGCGGTGGGGAGGAGCAGGGCACAGGCAGCAGCCACTCAGGGAGGAGATCGCCCAGACACACTTCTGGGCATAGAGGGGAGCAGGAGGGACCTAGGGGTGTGGCATAAATAGCAGCGGTGCCAGCACCGCGTGGTCCATCGTGCAGAGAAGGGAGCGCAGCTCAGGGGGGAGAGGAGTACATGGAACAGGAGCAGGGACTGCAGTACCAAGTCCAGGAACCGGGCACAGCACCTGCCAGCGCTGACGGGGCGGGCTGGGGATGGGACCTGGGAGGGACCCATCCCAGCACTGAGGCCAGCCACAGGCTCAGCAAAGTCTTCGTCGGGGAGGGTCCCCTCAGGTCCAGCCTTGCCTGCCCACCAACACCCAGGATGGGGTGAGGAGGCGACTCCTTTGCAGCTCTGCAGGTTGGCGCTGCGTGGGGCTGAGTCCCCGACCCTTCCGTCACCAGATACCTCCTCCTGCCGTCTGTCAGAGCTTGGTCTCGCTGAGGACGATGTTGGCTGTGACAAAGAAGAAGCAGGAAAAGGCCCAGAACAGCACGAAGCCCACCCAGAAGGTGTGGCGGAAGGGGGACCTGTGCTTGTTGGGGGTCCCGTGGCCGAAGGCCAGCTGCGCGTCCTTGCGACAGTGGTACACCAGGAAGGCCGGGATGACGTACTGGATGCCAGTGCCCGCATAGGCCCCTGTTATGCCCACCAGGGACTCGAGGTCGTGGGTGCAGAAGGCGACCAGCACGGGCGGCACGAGGGTGATGGTGGGGAACACCACGCGGTCCACCACCCAGGGGTAGGTGCCGCCCTCGCGGTGGAAGAGCGCCTTCCAGTTGTTGCGCAGCGTCACAGCGATGATGGGGAAGTTGGTGCTGATGGTGAACACAGGGAAGAGGCCCAAGAAGAAGCGGGCGGCGGCCAGGCTCACGACGTCGCAGCGCGCGAAGTTGAGCGTGTACATGTCCAGGAGGCTGTCGCCGCGGAAGCAGAAGATGGCGGTGAAGGAGAGCAGGCCGTAGAAGGCCAGGATGAGCACGTAGTCCAGGAACACGAGGCGCGTGAGGTGGCGCTTCGATGAGATCGGGGTGACGAGGGACGGCAGGGAGTGCTGGCACATGAAGGAGTAGACGCACACCCCGAACAGGTTCCGGAGTCCTGACAAGTCGGCCAGGGGCGGGTGGCCCTCACCCTGCCCGTGCCCGATGCGGACCAGCGCCAGCACGATCATGATGGCAAAGGCTGCAAAGACAGAGGAGACATCAGCCATGGGGATGGGGAGGGGGGAAGGGGGACGGGCCTCCCTCCTAGGGCCTGCAGCCCAAGGAAGAGCAGCAGGACAGTCAGACCCACACTCCCCCTCACCCCAGGCAGGTCCACAGGAGCCAGGCCTTACAGATGCCTGCACCCCCAACCCAGCAATGCTCTCCGGGTCCTTCTCCCACATCAAGAGCAGCAGACCCCGGGCGAGGCCCAGGGCAGGGCAGCCCAGCCTGTTTCGGCCAGGCCTGGCCCCAGCAGCTCCCTCCTTGGGCCACTGGGGCACTGGGAGGCTCCATCCGGCACGGAGCTGGCCTGGTCAGGGTTCTATTTGATGCTCTCCCTGCACTGGTTTAAAGCCTGTGATGGGGGCTGCTGGGAGGGGAGGGATATTTGGTGGAGTTGGGGGCAGGGGAGGTGACCCCTTGGGCTGAGGGCAAGCAGGCAGTAATGGGGAAGTTGGGTGTTCTGGGGTCCAGAGCAGGGGGACCCCCGAGTCCTTGAGCTGTTGGCACCATGCCGCTCCTCACAGGAAGGGACAGAGGACTAGCTAAAGAGGCAGCCTTCTGAGGACAGGTGTCCCATGTCCTGAATGCCAGGTCCCTGCAGACGGGGCCAAGCCGAGCGGCCACACACGACAGGCTGCTGCACCCCGCAGCACCCAGTGGGAGCCATGCAGCATTCCTGATGCTCTGGGGAAATGGCGCTTCTAGATCTTTCTGGATCTGGCAGGCTCCTGGTGTTAGCTATTCAGATGACCTGAAACTGCCATGGCAGAAGGCACTGGTGTCCTTGTCTCCACTCTGGAGTTTGTGACCCGCCCCCCAGCTGTCTGTGCTCAGAACAGCTGCGACAGCCTGTGTCCCGTCAGGTACCGAGGCAAGGACACGCAGTGCCTCTCGGTGTAATGCAGGCAGGCATGAAAGCAGCCGCTGGTGGGGTGTGCCAGAGCGTTCAGCTCTGGGCTGTCCTCAGGGTGACAAGGACCCCTCAGATTGCTCCCTCAGGCCATGGCATACTCCTTGGCTTCTAGAAACTTCTCCCCGGACCCACGGAGGCCAGGTCAGTGTCTTCCCTCAGAGACTCCAGGGAGAGCAGGGACAGAATCTTCCTGTGTGACTTCAATCAGAAACCCGACACTGTTGGGGACAGGGAGGGGAGGAGAGGAGGAAGGAGAGGACCAGCCTGTGACAATGGCCAATAAAGACCATGATTTGTCTCTGCCTCTCACACCTGCTCTATCCCTGCTCCTTCTGACCCCAGGGCCCTGATGCACTACAGGGAAACTAAAGGCTAGACAGGCTGGGGCAGATTCACCTGTGAGCCACCAAGAAGGTTCTGGACCAGAGGATAACAAGGCTGAGCAGGCAGGATCTGGCTTGGGACTGGGGCCCCTGGGGCTGCTGGGTGGAGAGATAATCAGGAAGCCACAAGCGAGCAGGTTGACCACCTGGGTGGTGGGGCCACCAGGTCGGGACAAAGGGCAGCGGCTGCTGTAAGGCACGACTGGCACCCTGCTGGGTTCCTACTGCCCGGGTGTCACCTCGTGTCACCTTATGACCCAGGGCTGCTCGCTGGGCAGCCAGGCCGGCACGGACTTGGAAACAGGCCAGTGGAGACATCCTCTAGGTGTCTGAGCTCAACAAGCTAAGCGGGCTTCTCTTTTCATCTTTCTCCCAGCCTCTAGGCCCCAGCAAGTTGTGAGAGATGGAGACGGGGCCTGGCCGGTTGGCCGGCTAGCTCTGAGGCAAGTGGTCTGCGCAGTTCTGAGCGGGGCAGCTCCTTATCCTAAACCGTGCCCAAGAAAATGAAACTAGACAAAGCATACCTGCCCCAGCACCCTAGCTGCTAGAGGGGGCCTCCATGCGGCTGCATCTTTATATCAGTGATGATGTGGGACATTTTTGAGAAATTTCAACCTGGCCTATGAAACCAGTTTCGTACGTGGCTAGAGGGCAGTGTGGGAATTGGGGGTGGGGTTCTACCTTCCTCATCACACCTGGCTGTGTGGTTCAGCAGCACAGAAATGCCACCAGTTTTGGGGGTGAGAGAATCAGTGTCACGTGTCAAGCAGAGTCACTCAATCTGGCGCCTGCTCTGCGCATGCCAGGCCCACACCCGTCCAGGAGAGGCCAGACCTGGGCCTGCCCTTGAGGCCACTTCCCTGAAGACACGGTCTAGCCAACTCCAGCAGGGCAAAGCCCCTTGTGTCTCCCTCATCACAAAGACCTGAGGCAGGTGCTGGCCAGGCCCTCGGGAGTCATGGGGCAAAAGTCTCCAAACTGGCAAGTTCAAGAGCAACCACTGCTACCCTAAAGCTGGCTCTGATGGAGACTTGGACTGTAGGGAATCTGCAGGGTTCTGGGGTTGCAGGACACGGGGCCTACCCCCTCTGCCCACTGGGGCCCTGCCCTGTCCCTGTGGCCATGGCCCTGCGATCGCAGTTCCTCCCTGTCACTGACTATGGGAGGAGAAGAGTTTAACGGCTGTCTCCTAGATGGATGTTCCTGTCCCCGGGAGACAGCTGCTCCCCAAACTCATTAGGTAGGACCATCGATCAAGGCAAAATGAGGATGATAGGCTGGGAGTGACAGAAACCGCCGGGAAGCATGGCACAGCGCAGGGCTGAGGGCTCAGCCCGGGGTCTGGGCTGCACCACCACAGCTCTCACCCATTTCACTGAGGGAGGACATCCAGGACCTCAATGGGCACGTGCAGGGGTCTGCCTAGGGCCAGCCAGACTCTCGGAGCCCCCGTAGGACGTGCTCAGGGAACCTGTCTCCGCCTCCACTGGCTGCTGCGGAAGTCATGCTTCCAAGGGTGGGAAGCAGCAAGGAGCCAGGGCAGATTCAGAGGGAGCAGGTGAGGGCCTGAGAGCGTTTCACATGGCCACCAGGGCCTGGGCTGTGAGGTGCTGAGGTTATGTGAGACCCACACGTTCAACCAGGCCCATTCATCTAGTCAACAACGAGGTCCCAAGTCTGCTGCATGCGGCCAGTGCTCTGGCTGTCTGGAGAGTACAGTGGGGACAGACACAGGTCCTGTCCTGATGCCCACAGTCCAGGGGGACCAACAGGGGAGACTGAGTGACAGAGCACAGGAAAGCGCTGGTCTGTGGCTACATTCGCCGGAGGGGGGATGATAAGACCCCTTTGGTGGGAAGTGCCCAAGGATGTGGGCAGTTCACAGGGAGGAGTCGGGTTAGAGTGGAAACAGAAGGGCCTCTGGGCCGGTGACAAGGAGTCAGGTGCACCCAGGGGTGACCAACAGGTGGAATGGCTCTCACTTCTGGGATGCGCACACACAGAATCAAGTACTACAAGCTGCACCCACTCCCCTCCAGAGTTCACTCACCAGGAGACGCAGCCAGTGCTCCCCTCCCGCTTCTCCCCATCAGCACACCCAGCTCCTTGGGCGTGAGAAAGGCAGGTGTGGAACATGAGTGCTTCTCACACCCTGCGAGCTGAGAAGCAAATGCGCATGGAGCCTGAGCCTGGAGCAGCTAATGTAGAGAAGGCGTCTGGCCCAGCGATTCAATGAGGGGCAGAACTCACGCCAGGATGGCTCACATCCCTCCTAGTAGGGCCTGTCGGGGCCAGCTGGGCACAGCTCCGATGATTTGTGTTAATAGCAGGAGCCAAATGTGGTGGTATCACTTGGAGCAATGTGGGTGATACTTCACGCCGAGATGCGTTCTCACTACAATCAACGAGTCAGGAGTGTCTCAGAGCACAGAGGGGGACAGCCTCAGGCCTCCTTTCTTTGACCAACAGGAGAAGTCAGGACGTCCCCCGCAGGCAGCGCCTGTCTGTCCTCACCACACCTGTCCTTGGAAGAGAGAGGGGAGCCCCCACCGCTCTGAACACCCGTGGGAGGCACAGGCGAGACTGTTCACACCTCCCTCGACGCTATCCTGCCTGACCTCATACTGGGGAAGGCGATGGGGTCTTAGGGTCAGGTGAAGCCTCAAATGGGCCAGGACCTTGCAGGAGGCACAGGGGGCTGGTTGTTGGGGCCCCATAGTATGTGAGCAGGTACCTGAGGTTTGGGTCCGGGACTAAATGCTCACTTGTGTAGGCTCCAGTACATGCTCTTCTCATGTTGTGATGTGTGTGGGGCCTTCAAGAGATTCATGAGAGAGGCTGACATTGTGGTAGTGCCAGCTAAGCCACCACCTGCAATGCCAATATCCCATACGGACATCAGGTTGGAGACCTAGCTACTCCATTTCCGATTCAGTTCCCACTGGTGTGCCTAGCAAAAGCAGTGAAAGATGACCCAAGCGCCAGGGCCCCCTGCACACACGGGAGTCCTGGAAGAAGCTCTGGGCTCTTGGCTTTGGCCTGGCACAGTCCCAGCTGTTGCGGTTATCTGGGGACTGAACAAGCTGATGGAAAATTCATCTTTCTTCCATAACTCTGCCTTTCAAATAAAAAATTTACAATTTTATGGAAAATGTGTTTTATGAAAAAACCCATGCATAAATCTCAAAGACAATATTGGCACCCGGTTCTTTTCTATGGACTTTTGGAAGTATGGTCTCTGTGTTTTGCTTTCTTGCATGGTTTCTGGCTCAGAACTCCTCCCCTCCCCCCACTCCCCTATAGAAACCAGCACGTGTCTCCCTCGAGGAGGTCAGAAAAGCTCTTGGACCTTTCCTTGGCTGCGTTGAAGCTGGCTAAAAAGAAATCACTCTGATAGCTCAGAGGACCCCCGTTTCAGAGACGGTCCCGCCCCAGCCCCGGGGGAGGGCTGAGTGTAGCACGAGGCTGAGGAGGCTGGCAAGGTCCCTGGTCCCTCAGCACTGGTCACAGACCTTGGCTCAGTCCTGTTTCCACACACCTGTCTATACTTCCATCACACTTATGCAACGAAACCTCCACAGCCACCCGAGAGGACAGGGTTTGGGGAACTCAGGCTGAGCTCACGAAGGCTGCAGGAAGGTCACCACGAGCTCCCCGGGGCGGGGTTCCTGGGGACAG